GGTGTGGTTGTCCTCGGAGTGTGTACTCGGACAATGGTACGAATTTTGTAGGAGCTATTCAAGCATTAGGGCAGGACTTCCGTAACTTTGTAGCCGAAAGTTTCCGCCTAACTACCCAGTCGTATGCTCATCAAGAGATCGACTGGCACTTCATCCCACCGGGAGCCCCACATATGGGAGAAATAAAGAAGCCTGCCTAAATTCCGAACCAATTAGCCCGCTTTCCGACAACCCCGAATCCACAGAACTCCTCACCCCAGGACACTTTCTGATAGGCAGCCCATTGCTAGCATTTGCGGAACCGGAAATTAGTGGAAATCCGTGTCAATCGTCAACCGATGGCAAAAAATTAAAGCCATTCATCAAGGATTCTGTCGGTCATGGAAGGAGGAATACCCAAAGGAACTACACAAGAGAGTCAAGTGGCAACACCCCCAACGAAACATCGAAGGCGATGATTTCGTGGTTATCAAAGAGGATAACCTACCCCCGAACGATTGGCGACTTGGCAGAGTTGTTAAGTTTTTTTTAGGGCAAGACAAACGCGTGCGAGTCGTAGAAATACGTAACATGCGTGGAGTAATTACACGACCAATCATAATATTATAGTACTGCTCCCTCTAATACAAACTAACTTTTTTTCTACTTCCAGAATTTTACAATATGGTTCAAGCTAACTCAAACGCAGCCCAAGTGTGGTACTGATGCCCCGCCTGCAAGCGCAACCACCGCTTGCTGTTCTGCCGCCAGTTCCTCCGAATGGAGCCTGAGGAGATACTTCGAGCTGTCCTCCTTCACCGCTACTGCGCCAACTGCCTTTTGTCGCGACACATGTCCAGCAATTGCTCATCACAGAGAAACTGCGAGCTATGCCAGGAACGACACCACAGTCTCCTCCACCTGGGGGAAACTTCCAGGCGGCAGGAAGACGGTTCGCAGGACCTAAACGCTCCCGATGTCCGGCCAATCCGGCACCACCGCCCATACCATGCTCAGGCGTTGACTGAGTCAAGCGAAGAGGTTTTGGAGATCGTTGCTAGTGATGAGGACTTTCAAGTGATCGAAGATACGTCTGAATTGAGGGAGCCACCGGTATTCAGACTACCTCTGTCGGGTATCCAGTCGGCGGTCCAGCGAGCCCCAAGAATCATAAGAAAAAGACGCCCGCGTTCTCGCCGACACACGCGCCGCAACTCGCAACTGCTGCGCCACCGAGTTGTGAGAGACGCTGGAGAGCGAATCCATGGTTCTGCTCGAAGTGCTCTGGGCTTATCAGTCCTTACACCTACGGTGATACTAAAGGTAATGTCGATGTTGTTGTTGTATTCAATCTGTGCGAGACATCATCGACCAAGGGCAGCCTCATTGTACAATCTCAAGACGCGGAGACTGCATGCATTGCCGAGAAGTGAGAGCGACCAGTGCCCTTTAATACTTAAAGGGTGGAATGAGAGATTAGAGATCCCGGCAAAGGTACTACCGAGCCTGACGCGAACCGCCCCAGAGCACATAGTCGACGCGCGTGTGGCGGATGAGTTCGACAAACTGCGCTTAGCCGATCCAACATTTTACCGCGCGAGTGCGATATCAATGGTATTGGGAGCCGACGCATATGCGGTAAGTTTGCGTCCGGGTTTGATGCCCGCGCCACCTACCACACCAGCCACGCAAAATACAATGTTTGGCTTGGTCATCTCAGGAGCCTATGACCGGAGCTGAAGAAGAAGGCGAATAGGAGGCTTACTAGTTTAGTATTTAAACATAAACCAAGAATGCACTTATGAATTGTTGAAGTATTTACTTATTTTTGAATTGTGATTTTGAAATCTAATTTGAATTTTGAATAACTGAATTAATTTATTTTATATTGCAGCGATCCTGCAAGGCGGGTGGTATGTTTTAGGCTGCAGCTTAAGTTTGGAATACAAACCTCACCGAGAGATGTCGCTGCTAATCACTCGCTGACAGGACTCGTTATTTTATCTCCCTTTTGGCACGAGTCCTGTTAGTCGATCCCGTTGCCAGATTCCACCTTCTGTGGAGCCTATAAATGCGACAATTCAGTATAGTCTCGTCCTATTTTGTGACCAACAGCCAGCAACACCTCAGGTGAGTCAACTATTTTTTGTATACTAATTTTTCAATAAACATTAAATTTTGTATAATATATAAAACCACGATTTCTCAATACCTTTGGAGACTAGGGCATTAGTTGCTAAACAATTATATAGATTATCTTAAAGAATCGGCTCCCCCATTGACCCCCGTTGCCGGAATCACGAGGATTTCTTGCCCCTAAATTGCCCCGCTCGAACATAGTTATATTCATTTCAGTCGCGTATTATTTTTTTGGCATTTATTTTCATTATTTCATCATACATTTTAGTAAAAAAGTTTTAGCCCCTCGGCAACACTGGAGTTTACGAGGTCATTTGCGCATCAAATTTGCCTCGTAAATTTACGAAGGGCTCGTAAATAGAGCTCCATACAAATTTTGACAGTTCTTTTACGTGGCTCGTAAATTTACGAGCTCTACGAAGTTTACGAGGCTTTTACGGGTTTAAGTTACTGAAAATCGCTATATAACAATTAGCAAATTCTTCAGGAACTAATGGAAACTAAAAACTTTATACAAATAGCTTCGTCAATGCATTTTAAAATTATCCGATAGTATCGATAGTTTCAATGCAAACTATCGAAAACATCGAATGGGATGACTATCGATAGTTTTACAGCTCTACTCTGCCGGTACCAAGCAATATACGAATGAAGCAAGCGTGCTTTGTGTACCTAAAGCCATTCGTACATACACATGTACATCGAAGATTTTTTATTTCTCTAAATTACCGTTATATGGGATGTGGGTGTGGTTATTGTCCGATTTTTTAAATTATCGGCCATTTAGTATGCTGTACCCAGGCCAACAACTGTGCCAAGTTTGGAAGAAATCGGTACAGCGGTTACCAAGTTGTACACAGGTAACCATAAGTGGGCGTGGTTACGCCCGTTTTCCAAAAATTTATAATATTCTTATTTTTCGTCTAAAAATTGTTGTAAATATCAAGTTTGAGTGAATAATCTTCAAGAGTTACTAAAATATCGCAGTGTTCGTATTTCCAAAAATTACCGTTATATGGGATGTGGGCGTGGTTATTGTCCGATTTTTAAAATTTTCGGCCATTTAGTATGCTGTACCAAGGCCAACAACTGTGCCAAGTTTGGAAGACATTGGTGCAGCGGTTACTAAGACATACACATGTAACCATAAGTGGGCGTGGCTACGCCCATTTCACAAAAATTTATAATATTCTTATTTTTCGTCTGAAAATTATTGTAAATATCAATTTTGATTGAATTATCTTCAGTAGTTACTAAAATATCGCAGTTTTCGTATTTCTGGAAATTGCCGTTTTATGGGAAGTGGGCGTGGTTACAGTCCGATTTCGCCCATTTTCAATACCAACCTACCCTGGATTAAGGGAAACCTACATACCAAATTTCGTTGAGATATCTAAATTTTTGCTCGAGTTATCCTGTACACGGACGGACGGACAGACGGACAGACGGACAGACGGACAGACGGACGGACTGACAGACATGGCTTAATCGATTTCTCTATTAATTCCAAGCATTTATGTATACATTTGTCTATATCTATCTCGATTCGTTTTGGCTGTTACAAACAACCGTTATGTGAACAAAATTAATATACCCGGGTATAAAAATATTTGGCTTATAGTATGAATTTGTCTTTATTAATACGGCGCTTGCTGCGTGAAAAAAATGCTAGATTTCCTTAGAGGATGTTGACTACGTGATAAAAACCTAAGCGCCCCCCTCACTGTGACCAAGCGTGGTATTTTGAAGATCCCCCCCTGAAAGGGTCACTTAGTATGGGTACGTTCCCATATATGTATGATGAAACAAACGGGCTTCGTTGATATACTGATGGACATACGTACATATGGACAGCAATATTTTCATCTGTGTACATATGTTTAAATGATCCCACTAGAACTTGAAGGGAGATCTCCCATTGTGAGGAATAAAAGAGTACTCCTTTTGGCCTGATTTCGTAGCAATAGGGGAGTTTTGTTGGTTCTGACCTCCTTTATGACTCGCTTAGGAGTCAAATCGAAGATCTCCTAAGTGAGCAACAAAAGAATACTCCCAGAGCCATGATTTTGGAGCAATAAACGATTTTTGTCGATTTTGTACTCCTTTATTACTCGCTTAGGAGCAAAACGCGATGTCTCCTAAGAGAGTAATCCTGGAGTATTCCTTTTGATTGATAGGGGAGCTATAGGCACCTCGTTCAAAAGAAATTGCGTATTATTGGAAAAATTTATCATAAGGAAAACTACAGAAAATATTTCATATGGAAACGATATAAGGAGGATGCAATAATTGAATGACGATAGCACACAGTTAAATGAAGGTCCATCGGTATGTATTGCAACTTCTGTTTAAATTGATTAAATGTTGTGTTATATATCGCTAAATACTTTTCAGATTATCAAATTAGTGTCAGCATTTACGTATGACCACCTGGTTTTAACACTCATATAGTGCCGGTCCAGAGCTTTTACTGGGGGACATAGCTATCAGATGGGCTAAGTAACCATCACATTGAGCGTGGTTAAAACAAGAAAGTTTTATACACTCTCCCTATTTGCGTGAGCTCCTGAACACCCAAGCATCCCTGATACCAGGAAATCATGTAGTTATCTCACCGTTTTATTATTATTCTGTTTTACTTTGAATGTATTTGACCGCATTAGAATTCCAATATTAATCAAAAATGTAATAAGTATTACTTATGTATGTTTTGTCTGATCTCGTACTTATAGGTATATGTTATCTTTTAATATTGTATACATGCATGAGATTAAAAAATTAAATAAATCGATTGCGTAAATAGCAAAATCTTTTAGCTTACATGTGAGGCAATGAAAAGCTCTTTTATTACTCGTACAGGAGGCTTTCGAGATGCCTCTCATGGGAGCACTCCCTTATTGACCGTTCGGGAGGAATGGGGGATGTTTTTCTATGTGCACTCCCTTGTTGTCTTTATGGGAGGTATAAGGGATGATTTTATGAGAGTACTCCCGTATTGCTCCCTTAGGAGGTTTGTGGGATGACATTTCTGTGTGTGCTCCCCGATCGCTCGTTTAGGAGGTAAAACGGATTACTCCCCCTCCTAGGACATACAATGTTAAAGGGAGTATACGAAATTACATGCTTATACACAGAAGCATAGGGAGCAATGGGGAGTATTCGTATACTCCTCAGGGAGTACTCACGGAGCAATCGTACGATGCTCCCAAGTTCTACTGGGATTGTACATATTTTTGTATGTATGCGCATATGTATGGAGGTTTCGGAACGACTTTTATGGGAGTACTCCATTATTGTTCGTTTGGGAGGAATGTGGGCTTACTTTTATGTGAGAACTCGCTTATTGCTCGTTTGGGAGCAATATTGGATGACTTTTATCGGAGTACTCTTTTATTACTCGTTTGGGAGGTTATTATAGGCGTACTCCCGTATTGCTCCCTTGGGAGGTTTGTGGGATGATATTTATGTGTGTGCACCCCGATTGCTCGTTTAGGAGGTAAAAGGGACTACTCTCCCTCCTAGGACATCCAATGTTAAAGGGAGTGTACAAAATTACATGCTTATACACAGAAGCATAGGGAGCAATGGGGAGTATTTTTATACTCCCAAGGGAGTACTCACCGAGCAATCGTAAGATGCTCCCTAGTTCTACTGGGTATATATATTCTTGTACATGTATATATGTATGCACACATGTAGTACAAACGAAAACAAATCTAATTAGAGCTAGCAACCCTGCTTGATATCAATGCGAAATGCACTGATTGTCAAAAATGATGTGTTTGTACATTTGTTCATGTTTGTCATTGTGCGTATAATTTTTATACCCGAGCGCACTTGTGCACAAGGGTATTATAACTTTGTTCACATAACGGTTGTTTGTAACAGGCAAAACGAATCGAGATAGATATAGACAAATGTATACATAAATGATCAGGATAAAAAGAGAAATCGATTAAGCGGTGACTGTCTGTCCGTCCGTCCGTCCGTCCGTCCGTCCGTCTGTCCGTCTGTGCACACGATAACTCGAGTAAAAATTAAGATATCGTAACGAAACTTGGTACGTGTACTTCTTTTGGGCGTAGGACGGATGGTATTGGTATTGGTATTGGTAATGGGCAAAATCGGACAATAACCACGCCTACCTCCCATATAACGGTAATTTTCAGAAATACGAAAACTGCGATATTTTAGTAAATACTGAAGATAATTCACTCAAAATTGATTATTACAATAAGTTTTAGACGAAAAATAAGAATATTATAAATTTTTGAAAAATGGGCCTAGCCACGCCCACTTATGGTTACATGTGTATATCTTGGCAACCGCAGCACCGATTTCTTCCAAACTTGGCACAGTTGTTGGCTTTGGTACATCATACCAACTGGCCGAAATTTTTTAAAATCGGACAATAACCACGCCCACATTCCATATAACGGTAATTTAGAGAAATACGAAATCTTCGATAAAGCAGTAAATATTAAAGCTAATTTATTCTAAATTGACGCTTGCAGCAATTCTTTACCAAGAAATACGTTTATGATAAAATTTTTTTAAAATGGGCGTGGCACCGCCCACTTATGATCACATATATGTATCTCGGTAACCGTTCAACCAATTTGTACCAAACTCGGTATGATTATTGTGCTTGCCAAATATAAGCAAAACGCTGAAAATTATTGAAATCGGACTAAAATTACCGCTTTTCATATAACGGTAAATTTTAAAAATGCTTGAAAATTCAATATTTCGAAATTTAAGGACGCTGGTTTACTCAAAATTGATAAACCCCGGATTACGATGTAGCGGTAGCTTTCGGGAAGGTGGAAAACATATATTTAATATTTGCGCCGGGTATTTAATGTTCGGCTCCGCCCGAACTTAAACTTTCTTACTTGTCTAGAGTAGTTTTTGTGCTCCCGCTATCACTTTGTATGAATTCGTCTATCGCTGATATACTCTGATGAACATACATATGTGAGGATGATAGCAAGGCGAACTCATATAAGGTGGTGTTACAGGAGCAGTTGAAATTTTCGCCCGGTGTTTCTTAAAGAAAGCCATAAACGTAGCGAACGTTGGTTCAACTTGGTGATGTTTTGCTCTAGATTGCAAAGTTTGTGGGTCTGTTGTTGTGTCTTGGTTATACGAAAGATAAACAATTTTAATTTTCTGGCAAGTTGTACAACTCGTCGCAACGCCAATGGACATGTTGTACAACGTAATTATATATTTTTTTTCGTGGTTGCCACATAGCAACAAACATCAGTTTGTTCACTAAATAGCCCTATATGGATAACTCAGCCGAAATACGTCCTGTTGCTGAATTTCATAAATGTATGCCGAAACTTACGAACTTGTAAAAATGAGATTGTACAATGAATTGCTCGCAAAATTGTAACGTTTGTTGGCAAAACGTCCAACAAGATTTCTAATCGATCTGAACCAACGGTCGCAACGTTAATGGCTTGCATTATGTCAAATTTGAGTAGAAACTGTGTGCATGAACTCCATTTCATAATTTCAATTATACACGAAATGGAGTTTAGTTATGCATTACTCGAATTCATGAAGTGATTTAGTGAACGCATAAACGTAGTAACTGTGCGTATAAGTTTTTAGGTGATTTTATGTTTTTATACTCTTCCTACGAGATGAATATACATCTATATTTTAATACGCTAACATAAATTTTGTCTCCGTTCGTTTGGCGATTCTACCGAACCGATTTCAAAACCAAGAACACCGTTGGAAAGGCATTTCTCCGTAGATGAGCAGAGTTTTTATGGTTTCACAATTGGTTGAAAATTACGGCTAAAACCGTCGTTTAAACTTTTTCGAATTGTGTATAGATGTTGCTGCAACATGTTCAATTTTACATGTTTCGCCTGTTGTTTCACTACACAGTTGAAATTAAGCTTTGAAATAAAGATAAATATGAAGATGAAGAAATAAATGATAACGATGTAGTCAAAAAAAAAAAAAAGGCAAAAGTGAAGATAAAGACGAAAATGGAGACAATGACAGATACATAAGAATTAGGGTCACTGAAAGGGTAAGAACATTTCTTGAATTTATGAAGTGAAACTTCTT